CTGTGCCTTAGACCTGCAGAGCTTATTCTGCTTCTGACTGCAAGTTTGTGCCCTTAGACGAGCATCTTTCCCATTGTTCCCACCCCCCAGTCCCTGGCAACTACTATTCTACTCTGTGTCTACGAGTCCAGCTCTTTTAGATTCCACACGTAAGCAATGCCGCCCAGTATTTGTCTTCCTCTGTCTGCTTTATCTCACTTAGCGTACGGCCCTCAAGTGCATTCGTATTGTCACAAATGACAGGATTTCCTTCTGTCTCATGGCTGAATAACATTGCATTATAGTGTAATACATAAATATAAGAATAATCATTTTATATTCCCTTACTTTGGAAGAAAAAGAATGTTCCTACATCTTTCTTTTTTAAAAAAATGGATCCATTACCATTGATATTCAATATTAATTTCAGGTATACATCATAATGGTTGGACATTTATGTAATTTTTGAAATGATTCTGGGAACAAACCGATAGCTGCCAGATGAGAGAGGTTTTGGGAGGCTGGGTGAAAAGGGTGAAGGGATTAAGAAATACAAATTGGTACCTACATCTTTCTAATGGCCAAGATGCTTGTGTGGTAAGATTATCAATTTTGGAAAAGCCAAAAGACTAAGCAGACAGTGAAAGGTCTTGCAAATCTATCAAATGATATTTGGACACATTTACAATGATTTCAACCCACAACATCCTAGAGATTCCCTGAATAAATTGATACCCCAGATGGCATTTTGATCTGAATTTTTGCAGATTAAATATTTAACAGTAAGGAAATTAAGGTATTTAATTCTCAAGAAAGTTATTGAATCTTTTTGAAGATTTTTGCAATATAGATTGGGGCCTCTGGTACAAAGCTACTTTGTGTGTGTGTGTCTGAAGAATAAACAGGCAAAAATCTTTACCTCCATAGAACTTAATTTCTAGTTGCTTAGACACACAAATGCATAAAACTTAGAGTAGAACCATCAATAATATATAACATGAAAGCAAGTTAAACCAGAAAGGGAGGTAGGTCCTGCTGGGAAAGGAGTGAGGGAGTTGTGGTTTTAGGTAAGGGAGCAGGGAAGATTCTACTGAGAATGTAACCTACAAGCAAAGATGTGAAGGAGTCAAGCCCTGCATTTGAAACAAGGGCAAATGCTCTGACACAAGATGTTCCAGGGGTGGCAGCCAAGAGGCCACTTTGGTTAAGCAGAGGGAGTAAGGAGCAGAGAGAGAATATGCATTCGGATAAGTGACAGGGGACCACGTTGCAAACACAGTGGCTCTCGCTTTGAGTAAAATGGGAAGACGGTGGAAGACTTAGAGTGAATTTGAGGGGAAGACTGTTTTTTTTCTGATAAACATAAATGGATTTAAAACATAAATGGATGACATTTATGTTTTAAAAGATTCACTGTAACAGAATGATCCAGGAAGAGGAAGCGATGAGGAGAGAGAGGTGGAAGAGACATGGAGGGAGGCACATAAGAGCTCTCAGATTCGGTCCTCTGCTGATGCAGGACCCGAAGGAAATAGAGAAGCCGAGGGTGACTCCGAATTTCTTTTGGTCTGAATGATTAGAAATACGAGGCTTTTCCCTTAGAGAAAGTGGGAAAACTGTGGGAGGAACAGCTTTGTGGGGAGGGGCTCCATGAGAGGGGAAGAGAGATGGGAGAGTCAGATTAGTACATGTTATGTTTGAGATGCCAAGTTGCAAAAACAAAATGGAAGTGTTAAGGAGGTAGTTAAATACAGGGTCTGGCAGAAGTAACACCTGCTTGAGTGTGGCTGGTAGGGTAATAATACAGGTGTCATAATTTATAGTTTTAATTTGAACATTTCACCTAAAACGTGACATGGTGTGCTTGAATGTGATATTGTTACGTTACAGAATTACACGCGTCTGATTTTGCAATAAAAGATTTTGTACTAATAAAGGGGTGTTATTTGTGTTCGATCCTGTATATGAGTCCTGAATTCAGAAAAAGAGCCCCATTATTGGACTGTAAATTGGAGAATTTTGAAGAGAAAACTGGTAGGTCCAATAAAAATTTCAGTGAGTTAAATAAATAAATGAGACAGAGAATGGATTTCTCAGGATGGGGTACTGTGACCATCCAAAATTTGGAAGTGAGGGAGATAAAAAGGAAACAACAGAATGAAAAGTGACTAGTGAGACCGAAAGCAACCAGGTGACCCTGGAAGAAAGCATTTCAAAGAGGCTGGAGTGATCGCTGTGTCAAATGCTGACAGGCTCAGACAAGTATGATAAAAGGGTTCAGATTTAACAACACGGGGATGTTGTGATAGAAACAAAAGCAGTGTCAGTGGAGGGAGAGGGCAACTTCTCATTTTCTAAATGTACGTAGTCAAGTTTATTCCTAGACTGTTTCTAAACAGGGAAACACGAGGTTTTATTTCAGCTGGTGATAGCCTATTTTATCAATGTCAGTGCAATGACTTCTTCATACTCCACTCCTTCCCTCTGATTTTTTTCTTATGACCAAAGTTGATTTCAGCAAGGATTTGAGTAATAAACTCAGTTTACATGTCAGTTTAAGCTCAGTTTATATGTTACTCTTGAATTTGTGTTTAGCTAAAGATAAAGTTGTAGGTGATCACTTTTCTCCCTCAGCACGTAGAAAACGTTACTTCCTCGCCCATCGTCTCTGGCCTCTAATATGCTCATGAAGGCGACTGTCAGCGTAAGCTACTCCTCCGTGGGTGATAGTTCAGCTTCTTTATTTATCCTGGAGTTCTGTGGTTTCATCCTAATGCATATAAGTGTGGATCTACTTTTAATTTTATTTTATTAATTGCATGCAGCGTGTTGTGTGCTCTTTTAATGTCAGGCTTCATTTTGTTTTGTTTTCTTGCAATTCTGGGAAGCTCTCAGCCAACTTCTCTGAAAACAATACTTCCCTGATCATCCATTAGTTAATTCTCTCCTTGTGATGAAAATCTTGTTGCGTGTATATTGGAGCCTTTCAGTGTCACTGCTGTACTTGTCTCCTTTATTTTTTATCTTTTTGCTGAATTCTGGGCACAGTTCTTTGGCACCATCACTTAATCTCTTTGGGATTTCTTTGGGAAGATATTATTTCCTCTGAATTTTTTAATGGCTGTGTTTTTGTTTTTACATCCCTATATCTCGTCCTCTCTATTCTTGTTTCATATTAGCTTATATTTGTTTTTCTAATTCCTTGTTCGCTTATATGAATAAGACAAATGTTCTCACTGTCTTTTATCGCATTGTACACATTAACTTAATATGCTTATTCAACTAATTTTAGGTGATTCTGTTTTTTACTTTTTTGCATTGGATCCGAAGGGTGTCCATCTCCTGGTTGTTGAGTTGGTTCTCCACCTTTCAGTGCAGTCTGGATTTTTGGCTTCCAGGCAACATGTAGAGTGAGAGGAACATTTCTCACTCTCACTCACTCTTCATGATGTAGTGCTTTTCACTTGTCTCTGTTCGTCCCCCGATACCCTCAGTCCCACGGTAGCTCTTTCATCAGCATCTCAGGATTCCCTCCCGTCCAGCAATGGTTCTGGCCACATCTCTGACCCTTGTCATGGAACCTGTGGGCTGCGTGGCCTAGGCCAGGTCTGGATGGTTTCCCTGCGTCCTCTCCCGCCTGCAGCTAGGCACAATTGAGTGACACCGACAGTGCTTTCAGCATCCTTTCGTGAGCAGTAGCACCATGCAGCCCCCGATTTTATGCCAGTACCCTGGAATCTGGTCTCCCACTACTCACAGCAGAGCCTTTTATGTCCGGCTGGAGTACAAGACCTCTGCGCCTTTCTGTTCCCACACCCGAATTACAAAATGAGTGTGACTTTAGCCCTCATTTACTGACCACTGAGGTTTTCTAGTCTGTTTCTGGTCTAAAGAGATGCTTATCCTGTTTTCAAGAATACAGAATTTTTAAAAGTATTTATCATTGTATCTAGAACTAAAAATTTAATTTTTAAAGCTCACAATGCCAAAATAATCTGAAGTTCTTTACATTTTTAATATGACTTGCTCTCAGCTGCACATGTGACCATGCAGAATATGTTTCACATACACTGCAGATTTTTGAAACACATCATTCAGCAGAATTCATTCCTTTTTCAGAAAGGTCATGCTAAATGTGATATTCTTCTACTAGAACAAAACTTTATTTTTTTTATCCTCAGCAAAGTCCTAGATTAGCGTTGGGCTTATAAATAGAAAGCAACTCACTTGGTCTGATTTGTAAGATGACAGGTAGGGCGTCCGATATCCCAATAATTTTCTTATCTGCCACGATATATAATAGAAATTCCACCAAAGTGGTTCTCCGTGATTGGACCGCTTTTATCTTTTCACAGTTCTCTGCTAAATGAAAGAGAATTGGGGTGTGGGAGGCAAAGGAGGCGATGCCTTTGCAGCAAGGTCCTGTCAGGGAGAATGAGACATTTTGCCAATATGATCGAGACGAGGCCTTGGAGAGTGCCCTGGAAAGGCCAAAAAGGAAGTTGAGTATTTTTACCAAAAGGCGAGAGAGCACCAAACATAGACTTGATCTTCTTCACAATGGTATGTAGTTTACAGCCTTGCCGGGATGATTTGTGAGGCTGAGTTAACCTCGCCGTAACCGCAGGAAGGAAACGAGAGGTGCACACCTCCCATAACCGCTCAAAGGTGTTCCTAAAGACAAGCAGAGGCAGTCATTCTTCAGCAAAGAAGGAAGTTAACAATCAAGTTCCAAACACAATATTTACCGTGCCAACTGATTCTGATTATGTGGCAATATTGCTACTAACATTGTCCGCAGCAGGTAACAATCAAAGTTTGCCCCCCAAAGTTTATAGGAGATTCTCCTAACAGCTTTTCTGGAGAATTTTTCATTTGACTGCCGAGGCCTATTGGTCATCACCTTTTCTAAGCCCCCTTCCTGCCCCCACCCTTTAATCAAACGATGCTTCCCTTCAGGACAGCCGACCTACCTTTGCTGTGGCTTTTGTTCATGCCTTATGTTTTCTCTCTTCTTTCAGCCAATCCGGTACTACCGTAGCTGAAATGCGAAAAAGGCAGCAGTCGCAAAATGAAGGAACACCTGCTGTGTCTCAGGCACCTGGAAACCAGAGGCCCAACAACACATGTTGCTTTTGTTGGTGCTGTTGTTGCAGCTGCTCCTGGTATGTCCCGTTATCTGTAAGATACCATACCTGAGCTAGGTGATAACTAGAGTGAACATACGTCTTCGGGGTCATGCAAACTTTGCGATCTGTCTTTTCCTTCCTTTAAAGTCAGGAATTATTGGAGAACATCAATGACTTAATACAAACATTTCTGTACGCAAAATACAGTTCCTCAGAACCTACACTTAAATTGATGGTAAAGACCATCATGGTAAAGACAAATTATTTCATAACATGTTTTCTTTCATCCATGCTCCTTCAAGATGTGGGTAAAAATGAGATTATGTGTTTATTTAAGAATAAACAATATTCTCCAATGTTACAGAAGGTGCAAGAACATTAAGATAATACCTAGGGGTGTTGTATGTGGCGCTCGCTGCTGTGTTTTAATTATGTGCTATTTCGTACGGTCTTGATCATTCAATTGCAGAGTCAGAAAGCTCTGAGCCAGGGTGGCAACCTCAGTCACAGGGAGATGACAAACGCAGAGAAAGAAGTGCCACAGACTCAGGTTGACAGATCCAAAGGCCAGGGGCTATGATGGGTATGAAGGCCAAGTCAGTTAATTAAAAACTCTGCACTCAGAGCCGGAGAACCTGCTTTCTATTGCGATTTTAACACTGCTGGGCACTGTGACGTTAAAGTTGTAACCTCTGCTTTTTGGCTTCCTGATCGCACAATGATGAAAAGGTACACAAGTGGGTTCCCCAGGTCCCATCTAGTACTAGATGTCCATGATTCAGGCACTTCAGAAAATCTGCTCCAGTTCCAAATTTTCAAAGTGCCTTCAAATAAAAAAGCAGTAAATGCCCTGGCTTGGTAGCTCAGTTGGTTAGAGCATTGTCCCGGTACTCCAAAGCTACAGGTTCGATCTCCTGTCAGGGCATGTACAAAAATCAACCAATGAATGCATAAATAAGTGGGAAACAAATCTATGTTTCTCTGTTTCTTTCTCTCTCTTTCTCTCTCCCACCCAACATCAATAAATTAAAAAGAAAGAAAGAAAAACAGTTAGACCCAGGGCCCAAAGATCCATACAGATGAGATTTCTTGGGGGGATGTTAGATTAATGGAACTTTCCATACAACCATAAGTTTTGGAATCCTTTAAGATTCAGTTCACAAGTGAGTCTTCTGGGTTAACAGTGGTTTTCTGATCTCCCCAACCTATTTCAGAACCCCAAAGAAAGGCCCAAATACTTGTATGATCTCCACAAGTTTCCAACCTCTGTTAAGGTTGTTGTTATAATATGGTGGCATGATGTTCTATCACTATGGCCAAAATGGAAGAAGAAACTGCGCCATGGTACAGTGGTGAACTTGGTGTTGGACAAGCTCTGGCCATCTAGAAAACTTTATTTCCAGAAAACCATCAATCGGAAGATTTAAAGTAGTTTCTGTAAATATCAAGAGTGCTTCCCACATGAGGATTCTTTGTTAGGGGAAGTCATATATAATTCCTTTTCTTTCATTCTTAAGCCTAAACTATTTCAGATGGAGGAAATGAGGGTTCTAAAAGAGGGACATATTTCAATAAAGTCATGTAGGGTTTTTTTTCTTTTTCTTTTTGGTATCATTTCTAAAGAGATTATGAAGCCCTGGTCTTAACCCATGAATACAGTGGACTGTGGCTCAGTACAAAGGAGACCTAGTAGAACAGGGCGGTTCTGAAGTTGAACTGCCTGGGTTCAGGTCTCATCTTCATCCATCACTCTCTGCGTGGCCTTCAGCAAGTTACTTATAAGATGTCCTCAGATTCCTTGTCTGCCACATGGCAGCAGTAAGAACCCCTGCCTCATAAGGTTTCTGTAGACATTAAATGAAATACAGCACGTATGAGCTGAGAACGTCTGACACATTTAAGTATGCATTCAATAAGAGCTCGCTGGGCTACTAAACCCTTCATACTGGAAAAATAAAATCTCTTTAAAGAGGAGCTGGTTTGAAATAAGGTATGTTTAAAATTAGCTTGTGGTTGTAATACAAAAAATGTGCTGGAACGGAAAGCTATTTTTATTTAAATTCTATATAAATCATCCCAAATACATTGTTGCACAGTGCTGAGAATTATACTCCTATTTCTCATTTCCACCATGCCATGTTCCAGTAATCAGTATATGATTTTATTTCCCTACCAAATTTAATTCAGAATTGTTTCAGGATTAAAACACCAAAACAGATAGAGTACTGAAGATTCATTTGCTGTCAAACAGGTATTTAGCAAGACTTGCTTTTATTGATTCTAAACGTGCACATTAAATAACAAAATATTCAACACGAACTCGTCAGCATCAGATTGCCACAGAACACAGGCTATGGATCTAGGACAGCCTTTTGGAAACTGCATTAACTCTGCAGGCCTCCAAGGGGATGCGTATTTGGACCCAAAACACGGGGCACATTTGATGAGTGTTCTACTAGTTCTAGAATATCATTGTCAAGAACGGTGTGTGTTAGCAAAAAGTCATGGATGCCTGAGTCTAGGCTGCAAAATGCACAATCTGTAAACTTACATGTCTTCGCTATATGATACATGAGAGGTAATTTCTACTGTAAACGATGAAAAAAATGAAAATTAAACTGTCTCGATCTATGGGTGTTATCTCATTGCAAATGAAAAGGTCCTTTACACACGCATTTTAAAAATACCATTATTTTTGTACTTTGAGTTTAGGGGAAAAAAACTTGTAAATGCTTATTAGAATGGGGGGGGGGGCGGGGAGAGAAATGTTCTTCAAATTTTCCAGGCTAGGTCAAAGGAGCAGGACAAAAAGAAACACTAAAAAAATGTAATTTAGGGACCAAAAAACGTTAGAAATCAAAATATGAGTAACTGTCATTTGTAAATAGCAGCAGTTGTCATGTAGATTTTCCTCCTTTTTAGGAAATAGAGTGCTAGGAAAATGTATTTCCATATCTAGTAATAAATATAAATACGTCAACCTAGCCTCACATGTTATGGGTTTTTTAAAACAATACAACATTTCCCTCAAATTTGCTTTTCTCATATTTCATTGTCAGCTCCTCTCTTATTTAAATTTATTCCTTTCTTTATAAAATTATCACTATGCTTTATTTAGGGGGGTGGTACAGAAAGTAAGTACATAACTACTGAAATATTTCCACAGTTTCCTTCTAAAGTCTAAAAAGTTTGGATTTTGTTCACACTGACTGATCAGCTGATCCGTTCTCTGCGCCTCAGGGGACCCCTTCCTTCCCCAGGTCAGCCTCTCTCTGTCTCCCTTCTCCCCTCACAGCCCTCATTTCAAGAAGAGAAAGCAGGAGAGTGAGATTTAGACCATTCAGCCCGTGTTACATAAGTGAGTCAGGGAGGCCTGCGTCTTGGCCATAAGATGAAGTCTGTACATTTGCAAATTCTGTTGTATGTGGGAGACCAAGCTGTTCTTGAGGTTCAAGGTCGCCACTGTCAGAAGCTCATGTTCCTCTTATATTAGGAGGCAAAGAGCATGACCTCACTCTTCAGGTAGTTAACCCCCTCCCCGCTTCTTTATGAGAAAGAAACCCCAGAAGGATGTGGGGGCTCCTCACAAAGCTGCCCTCTCCAGGACGGTGTGAGTCGGTGAGGTCATCCAAACAGTCGGACATGAGGCGACACGTCTGAACGTGCCTTGCAAATTAGATGCCGCCGGGTGCCCCCAGAAAGAAGTTCCTCAAAAAAGGGATGGAAGGTGGAGCTTTCAAAATTCATTTTGAGCTGAAAGCTAATTTCCATCAGAGGTTATACTAAACCCACACTATTTTTTTTTTTCAAATAAACATCAGACTCTTTTTATTTTTCAAATAAAATCTGTAGGTGCTACTCCATCCCTGTTTTAGTTCCTCATGGCTCCTGGTGATGTCCTATCAAGCAAGACAGGCTTAGTCCATGTTTAGTTATAAAAATTTAGAATTCAAGAGAGTCCAGCTGTCATCTCTCCAAAGCGCCCCCACTGGCTTCCCGTGCTGCTTCCGGGTGGTCAGGAGAAGGTTCTGGGGGAGCCGCGGGGCCCAAAGTTCGCCGCCCACAGCCCCAGCCTCCACTCTTGCAGCTTCCAAGGGAATTGTTCTGCCCAAACTACTTTACATATTAGACGCAGCTATAAGCTTTTTTTTTTTTTGGAAGGAAAATCATACCCCTTCTAAAAAAAACTGTCTGGAAAATGCTGTGTGTGATTTCCCAGAGAAGGACACTGAAGGCTCACCCCGTCTTCTGTTGCCACGCCGTCCGTGTTAGAAGTGGGGTGAAAACGCGGTTCCCTTAATGTCCAGTCTCTTGTCCGTTTTAAGATGACACTTCCAAACGTTTCCCTTCTAGATTTGATACGAACCACTTCCAAAGCTTCTTATTTTGTAAACTCTTCAAGGATTACATCAAGCACAACTTTTCACATCGAATTGACAGCCTCACACACTAGTGTACCTTGCCTACAATATTTGGCTCCAATCAGACATCCTTCATTCTGCTCTGGAGAAATTGGTCACAGACTGAATTTAGTAAATCATCTGTGTGAGAGCTAAAATCGTCTCCCTTTTGAACGCACTGGTCGCCGAGTTCCCAGACCATGGATAGCTCTGACTGGGTAAATGCTACGCTCTTCACAAACATGCTTTCAGTTGCCCCCTCTCCATTTTTAACAATCACCACAGCCTCTATAATTCAAAACTGCAAAAACATTGTCCTATTTTATCCTCTGACGCTGTCACATTTTAGCTCTCTGCCAATGGAAACACTAAGATGCATGCTTTGAAAGCCAAAGGATATTTTTTGAAAGGAAAAACAAATCCACGTCTGCTCCATGGTAAAGAAACCACCCTCTGGAAATAAATCTGCTCAACAGGCAAGATGAATCATTTCATCGGAGGCCCCAGTGAACACCGAGCCTGTCCCTATACCTCTCATCCTCAGAAACCTGACTCATCTTACGTGGGAACATCAGTCAGCGGCATAGGACTTCCAAAGGACTTATAACCAGATCGTCAAACATACAAAGAATTCTA